ACATCACTTTTTCTTCAGGAATGAAATACCTACAATAGATAAAATATTGAAGCAAGTGAATGATGATGAGGATCTGCCAAATTTTAAAAGATCTACGTTCCATAAGCTGTTGAAAGAACTAGACTTTCGATTTTTGAAAAGAGGAAGGAATAGTTTATTGATAGAAAAGGAGGAAATTGTTATCTGGAGGAGAGAATACCTTAGAAAAATTAGGCAATTCCGCGCTGAAGGAAGAAAAATTTATTATTTAGACGAAACATGGGTGAACGCGGGGCATACGCAGGGAAAGGTTTGGGTAGACAGATCTGTGAGGTCCTCAAGGCAGGCTTTTTTAGATGGCCTTTCGACGGGATTGAAAAATCCTGCAGGTAAGTTTCGAAGTATATGAACTTTTTTGGATGCAGATAATTCATTTTCTGATCGAATCAATGATTTGGAAGCTCCGAACTCAGTTTTGCTATCTCATCCAAGTTTCTGAGTATTTCCTTCACCCAAAAACTAATCTAAGACCCTATCCTACACTAACCTAAAAAGAGTAAGTTGCTTAATTTCGTCATTTAGTGCGCTCGCTGAGAAGTAAAATAACTAATTACTTTCAGGCAAGGGAAAACGCCTGATCATTTGCCACATAGGTAGCGTAGATGGATTTGTTCCTGAAGCATTGTGGGCATTTGAATCCAAAAAAACTGGAGACTATCACGAAGAAGTGGATGGTAACTCATTTGAAAATTGGTTCAAAAAAATTTTGCCGACACTTGATGATAACGCAATTATTGTGATGGATAATGCCCCGTACCACTCCAGAAAATTGGAAAAAATTCCAACAATGGCCACCAAAAAGGCAGACATTCAACAGTGGCTTGTCTCAAAGAAGATCGACTTCGACCAAACAATGGTCAAAGCTGAGCTGATAAATATAGTCAAGCGACATAAGTATAAATATGATTTAAAAATTGTTGACGAAATGGCCAAAAACCAAAATAAAACGATTCTCAGGCTGCCTCCCTATCACTGCGAACTGAATCCTATCGAGTTGATTTGGGCCGACATCAAGCAATACGTGGCGTCAAATAACAGCACTTTTAAGTTTTCTGACCTTAAAAAACTGTTTGATGTTGCTGTCGATAGAATTACGCCAGCAAAATGGAGAACATGTATTGACCATGTCCAAGAGAAGGTTGAAACCAAAATGTGGGATATGGACAATATCATTGACACCCAAGTTGAACCCCTTATAATTGACATCAACAATTCTGATGATTCAAGCTCCTCGGAATACAGCATATAAATCGATTGATACCATTAAGACTGGCAGTTTAACGGGCTTTTTGGCAAGACAGGTAAGTTCATTATAGACTGCAATCAAAGTGTAAGTTTCTAGTTATTAATGTGGAAATTCCAAATTTATAATTACACAAAATTAGGGTTAATTTAGGAGTTCCAAAGCATAATAGTGCCATTTTGACGTTCTTCCTATTTCTCATGTAAATTTTAATAGCAATCAAACTAACAAACTTTATGGAGTCTGTAATAAACTTTTGTACTACTACTACTACGTCTGTAGTTTATATTTGCTCAAAAAAATTTGCTCTGCATTGTGAATAGAAGGTTGATTTGTAAATATTATTGGGTATATATGTAAGTTAATAATAAAATATGAACAATTTCAATTGAGATGGTCCACAAGTTTTTTTCGTGTGCGTTTTAGTAACATTTTGCTGAAATGGTGAATACAGAATTTTTTGCACTGATTCCTAATGTCGAAAGATGATTAGAAAGGCGTGGTATATTCCTGATAATTTACTATGCTTTTGATAGAATTTACAGCAACACATATCTTGTACGACATTTTTTGATAGATCAGTCACAATAGCTTGATACGGCCCTGTAGCGTCTCCTACGGTTAAGTTCTTGATCACGTGCAATACGGGTGTATATGTTTGATTTTACTTTGTTTCTTCGATGGATACAGTTTACAAAGTATATTCAGATAAGAGATAGACCGGACATAAACAAGACCACGTGATCATCGAACGCTGTAACATTCGGCAGGGACGTATTAAGAGTCACGCAGTACATATTTTAGATAGTAGATTCTGCTTTGCGTAACTTTGAAGTAAATTAGCACAATTCGATGTGTATACGATTGGTGATTAATATAGGATCATGTGGGGGTGGGGTAAGAAATATATAATGATGTAAATATACATAAGGGTTTCAAAATTTTCGCTTCGATTTCCAGCTTCGGATGCCGCCTGATGTTTGGTGAAATACAGTCGAATATAATCTCAAAATGGCGTTTAAATTAGCCTAAATTAAAAATAATCGTATATCTCTTAAAATTGCTTTTAGAATATTGATTAGTATATTTTTTGATTTCTAGGTAAATATGTAACCAAATTAAAACGTTCAAAACGTAAAAAAATGTGCATGGTTGAACATTCTCAGAAAGTAGATTCTTGAATAGGTTTTGCCAAAATGGGTTCAAAAATGTCAATAATTAATTAAAAAATACAGTAGCTTTATAATTACTTATAACTTACCGAATTTGATGAACGACATCTTTTATTGGAAAGATGAGTTTGATGAGCTTTCATCATCGCTACTGCCTGAAGCACCAACGTCAATAATGAATGGCTCGACTTGTTCCTCTAAAATATTGTCCAGTTCCCACATTCTCTTTTCAACTTTGTCTTTCACGTGCTTAATACAGTTTTCCCATTTTTGCGCTGTTATTAATTCTAGTGCTTATTTGAAAAGTCCTTTGAGGTCACAAAATTTAAAAGTTGTATTGTGCTTAGCTATATAATTTTTAACCTCTGCCAATGGGATTGAGCTCGCAATGGTATGGAGGTAAACGGAGAACAGTTTTATTTTGACTTGCTGCCATTTCGTCAATGGCGTATTTTTGATATTCCGCCTTGTGATCCTTGACAATTCTTAATAATTGTACTTTCAGCATTGCTTCTTCAAAGTTGATATTTTTCGAGCGGAGCCAATTTTGAACATCAACTTTCCTTGAAGCCGTTGTTGGGACCTTCTCCATTCTTCGAGAATGATAAGGCGCATTATCCAACACAATTACTGCGTTTTCCTCTAAGTTCGGTAAAATTTTTGAAAACCACTGTTCAAACGATTCGCCATTCATTTCCTCGTGGTAATCTCCAGTTTTCTTAGACTCAAAGCACCACAGACCGTCAACAACAAATCCATCCTCACTGCCAATATGGCAGATAATGAGCCTTTTCCCTTTACCTGGAAATCGAAGTACTAACTGGTGTAGATTTATTTCAATAAGCGAACCTTTTTCAAATGTTTTCATCACATTCAGCGAAAAAACATTGAGACATGAGTATCAGATTGCTATAATTGGGATTATTTAGTCATATTGAAAGAAAGAATATTGAACGTCGTATGATTACTCAGCGCTTCACAATTTAATTTAAAGTTATAAACCTTTAAAAAATGAATGATCAGGAACCTGAAATACGCGCAAATATTAATATTAACAAATTATAACTTTATAAAGCTTAAAGTATGAATTAAAATGATTAGTAAATATTAGGAACGGTACACAATATAAAACTTAGTAACTTTTTTTAAGTTTATAATATTCGACATATTTTAAGATTATATTAAAAAATTATTGAAATATCGAAAACTCATAAAAACATGGCTTAAAAAAGTTCTAACAAATGAAAATGACAATAAAACATCCACGCATTTTATCGAAAGTTATAAAAGTTTTGTTACTTGTAATATGTTTTATCTGCCCCCTGGAATTAATGTTTAGAACCTTGTTCCCAAGGTTTGAAAAACATCCGATTGTTGTCTATTACTCGTATTTACCTGCTGAATTTTTTAATCCGGTGGACAGTCCATCTAGAAAGGCCCTCCTGGATGAAGTTACAGAATCATCAACCCATACTTTACTTGTAGTGTGTCCTGCGTTTACCCACGTTTCATCAAGGTAATAAATCTTCCTGTTTTGATTTCTATATTTCCCAATTTTTGTTAAATAATCCCTCCTCCATAGCACAATTTCTTCTCTATCCAGTAGTGAACTATTACGACCCCATTTTTTCCATTTGAAATTTAAATGCTTCAGTAACGCATGGAAAGTTGATCGTTTGAAATTTGGCAACGTTGTATCTCCATTTACCTCCTGCAGTACTTTATCTTAGTGCTGTTAACGGAGCGGTTTTCTCCGGAGGATGTTTACGCGCGCTTGTTCGCGGAGATCTCCGGAGAACAACCGGATTCATTGGTCTGTACAGCATACTGATTTGATTTTGAAACGGAGCGGCGAATGAGATGTAGTTGCTGTAGCGTAGTGGGCAAAGGCAAGGGCATATCGTATGATTCCCCCTTGGGTTGAGGGTTCGAACCAGCCCTTGCGAATTTTTTGTATAAGATAAAAATATGGTTTTTGCCCTTTCGCAGTTTATTTTTAATTGGATTTGTACCACCTTACACAAAATATATATTTTATATTTTTTTAATGTATTGAAGGCGTGCGTGCACTTATCGTTCTTTGACTTAGGCTGATTTTCTGCAAAGCAATACTTTTAAAAGGAAAAAAAGCGCTCTTTGGAACTTTTTTTCATTTCTGGAAAAAGGTTGTGAGAAAGGAATGAGGTTCAATGTGCCCAAATAAGAAGAATAGTATGATTTATTTCATCTGTAAAGTGAAACGTCACGACACATATTTGACGAATCAAATAAAGTTGAAATATTGATCGATTGTTATGAAAAATGGAGAAAAAGATTTTAATATATGACAAACATTATAGGTAACAGGAACTATGAATTATAGATGAAGTAGAACCCCATATCCAAAATAATATAAAGAAATGGCTATCACGATATCTAAAAAATATAAAAGGATGAACGTCTCTATACCCCAAAAAATATAAGGGGATAAATATCAATGTATCCCAAAAAATACAAAAGAATAGATATCAAAATATCAAAAAAAAAGGAAAAAATATCACAATATCCCCCAAAATACAAAGTAAACATCACTATACCACCGTACAAACAGATATGGAGGTGTTACTGTAACAGGGAGAAAATATTCATTTTAAACAAATGCTCTGTTACCATGTAAAAACACTAGCATTTTTGCCTTTGCCGGCGATAGCGAATTTCGTCGCTCGTTAATAACGTAACCGGCCTTTGAAAAGAGACGTTCTGATGGAACTGAAGTGGCTGGCACACACATATAATATGATGCCACCTGAGCAAGGGGTTTACACTGAACGTCAACGTTAGACCAATACTTTATCGGGTCTCTTTGATTGTTGATTGGCTGCACTTCCACATATTGTCTAACGAGAATAGTTGCGTCCACAGTGCAAGTGCTGGCCGTTGAATGTCTCTCGCCTTGATCATTTAGGTAAGACAGAACGCCGGCATATGGAGCCGGGGTAAGGTTTCCTCCTTGTTGTGTCGGTGGTGGCATCCTCTGAACCTCTGTCTTGACTTCGGCCTCTATTTGAATTCGTGCATCCTCTGCCCGATTTTCAGATACAAACCCTTTCTTTTTAAAGTGGGGGTTCATGAGAGTTGCACCTTTTGCAACGCTGCGTTGCTCATATTGCAGCAATCTATCAATCGCCGATTGCTTAATATTGTCAAGAAACTCCTGAACCTCATATTTGAGAGCAGACCGGTCGATATCGTCCAGCATTCGGATCAACCCCTTGGTAAGAGGAATAATGAGAGAAGCCGTGACATAATTCTCACCAGACAACGTCCTCGTCATCTCTTCAAATGGACGTAATATTGAATCCAGCTGGACCAAAATCTGCCAGTCATCTCCTATAATAACAATAAAGAGGTAATCGTAGTTGGACCAAGCAAGATGAACAAGTATTCCATCTTTTATTTAAAGGAAAAAATTATATACAACTTACCGTTTAAACCTTGCGGCGCGTTTGGCAATTCAGACATGCATAAAATTAGCTCCTCGCGGAGTTCAATGAGACGACGTATCATCGCAAGCTTACTGTTCCAGCGCGTGTCTACCTGCTGCACTACCCCTAAGCAACTTTTATTGGCGGCAGAGCGCTTGGACTTCAACTTATATGTTGCCAGGTTACTGTGTCTGGAAAAAAAACTATCTTTTGTAAGTCAAATTCTTTTAAAATAACTCAAGTTATTAGATACTGGATATTACAGATACATACGCGACAGTTAGTTGGGTTGCCTGCAGTCAGCAAAGTAGAACTGACTGTCGCGTATGTATCTGTAGCACCGAGTATACCGGTTATTAATAATTATTTACTCACTTGAAAAAAGTGACAATGGCAGCACAGCGCTCAAAAAGATTTTCCACATCGTAAGATTGGGTAAAGCCGTCATGGACCACTAAATTGAGCGTGTGCGCTGCGCAAGGTAGGTGTCGCAATTTTAATAATTTAAGGGCAGCAACAACATTGGCGCCGTTGTCAGTCACAACTGCTGTCACCTTGTTGACAAGTCGCCACTCATTCATTACTTCAAGAACTTTGTTCTTGATATTTTCTGCACTGTGTCTGCCTGGCAGAACAACACAATCCAGGCAAGCGGCTTTCAACTTATCCTCTCTGACGTAATGAGCGGTTACCGCCAAGTAGGGGTCTTGACTTATGGAAGTCCAGGCATCTATAGTTAGCGCCACGTGCTTTGCTTCCGCTAGATTCCTTTTTATGGCTTCTTTTACCTCTTCGTAAAGCCCAGGAAGCAATTTCTGTAACAGTAGCAACATAAAAAGGGAATTTACTAAAATTCATGACTATATTTGTACTACCGTAGTAAGTCGGTAAACTTAGGACAACCTGCACACATACACTGTATACTTACATTAGATATCGTTTGTCTACATGGTAATTTGTACCGTGGGTCAAGGGCCTTCACAAATTGAACGAATCCATCATCTTCCACAACACGAAACGGCTGATAGTCCATGGCAAACATACTTAGGAAATGACGGTCGAGGGCCTTCCGTTTTGGGCTGTTCTCCTCATAAAAACCTGGGCCCCCATCAGCACGTGTTGCGATGGCTCCATTTTCCAGCACCACGCAATGAAATCTTTGCAGATGATCTAACAAGTTCTTTGTACCGCCACCCCTTTTGGAAACATTTCCGCAAATTTTACACTTTGCCGAGTCCGGCTTATCATCTATTCGCTCAAAATGGAGCCACGCTTGGGACGATTTTCTAGGATCCATTTAAAAGTTTCAAATTGGCCAAATGGCAGATTCGCGACACATACACACACACACACACACACACCCATAACTTCTCTCCGTTAACACCACTAGACTCCGTATCACCAGTCGCCTCGTTCCCCTCCGGAGATCGCCCTAACTCCCTACCTCCGTATCCCTCCGGATTCTCCCCACCTCCTACAGTAGTACCGGATATCACCGTTCGGTGCCAGCTCCGCGATCTCCGGTTACTCCTACAGTTGCCCCGTCTCCGCTAACAGCACTACTTTATCTATAGTAGGTATTTCATTCCTAAAGAAGAATTCATGCACTTTCCTCCTAATCGCATGCTTATCAGCTTCATCCAATGATTTAACAATAAATACTTTTGCGATGTTTACTGGTCATTGGCTCAGAAAAGGTGTGATTTTTTTGTATTGTCTTAACACATTAAACACTGATGCGCGACACACCCCAACTTTGTGAGAAACCTTCACAACAATTTCTTTGATGGTTGATACCTCGTTCTCCTCGCGCTCGATCTTATATATATTCAAAATGACCTCTTTCATTTCTGCACTCAGGTGTCTTTTTTTAGAGCGTTTCCTAAGTGGACTACAGGAGTTTACAACTTCATCGGCAGTATCTGTACTACTGGGCATTTTGCGCAAGCAGTTGATAACAATAACAATCAATAACAAGGTATAACAATAACAACGACAAACTCAACAACTTAATAAGATAACAAACGAAAACGTCCAAAGAAATATCAACTTGCAATGATGCACACGACATACGTAACACGTCTGAACCTGAATCTGAATGTGACTCTGCCTTGATACGACTGCTCTGCCGCTCGGCATAGGCATTTAATTGCGAATTGACCAATGAGGGCTCCTGTTTTACGTCGAGACGCCGGCGTTAGCGTGAATATCTGAACGATACGAGATACTTTTCTCTACCCAAATATGCATTATTGGTTGCAGTGAGCTGAGAGAGCCACTTATTAGAGTTCTTAGGTCATAGACCTCATTGTGTACGAGGGATGTCTTTTAAGTTTTGCATATAGAAACATAGTAGGCGGCGCGGATCGAACGTTAGTACTGAATCTTGACCTCACTCTTTAATAAACGTTAATTCAAAGTTTCACAACAATACGTGTAGTGTTCTCACTACAGTGAATTTTTAAGTGTCACCAGCGCCACCTTCAACTAACGAGCCATGAAGAGAAAAAGGCAACACCGCATCATGGCATTTTGGGGTCCGGCCGTCCAGCTGGTGTGTGCCGTTATTAAGGCGCGTTTTCACGGGTCGATCTGAGTCGAACAATTTGTGTCGAACATTGAATCGAAAGCAAAGTGGTGTCGTTTTTATTTTTGTCAACATACATCGCCTATCGTGTAAACCTTTTTGCTTTTAACTCAAATCGAACCATGGTCGAATAACCCAGGTGGTTCAACTTAGATCGACCCGTGAAAACGCGCTTTTACAGAAACTTCGATTCGAGCATTTTTTTGATGAATCTCAAATTTACGAGTACAAAGTACAAAACAATTTCACTAAACATAAGTTCAAAATCGAAATTACAGAATGTGAATACTCTATGCGAACCCTAGAGAGGAAAATTCACAAGAATACTAATTATGTAGTGCTTCTTATAACTAAGTTGTTTGCTGGCAGACGTATACAAGAGTAGAATCGTACTTGAGATGTATAAATGAGGTATTGCATTACCACATCAAGTTACCAAATTATATCGGGAGGTTTTGCCAAGAGCCATATATCTGTGGTACTAAGGCAAAACCCAATATGTCAAAAAATATTGATTTTTTGTTTTTAATGTCAATATGTACACCAAATGACGAAGTATTCTATGGCAAGACCCGATATAATTTATAAAATTTCCGTAACACTCTAAATTAATGTTATTTTTTTAAGGAGGAGCTTAAAATTTAAAAAAAATTGGAATTACTAAAAAAAGTATATTCAGAATAAAGATAAGAAATAAATAAAATACATAACTGGAAACAAAACAAAAAACAGTGTACAAACTAAAAACAACGATAACTGAAAATTAAATAATAAGAGAAAATAAAATAATTGTAACAAAATAATAACTAAAAGGATATTAAAAAAGATATTGCACATTTTATATATCATTCACACATTGAAGGTGCTCAGCTTTCTCCTTAGTTGAAGGTGGCGCTGGTGTCACCAACTCATTAGAAAAATGGAACTTAACCGAGAACATTTTCGCACCATAATTTATTACAACTTTCAGGGACAATTATCGCAACTAGAATGTCTTGCTGAGTTACTGTCTGTTTTCGGCAACGAAGCGCCACATCAGTCGACAATTTCCCGTTGGTATGGAGAATTCATACGTGGACGGGTGAGTCTTAGCGACGATCCCAGGAATGGTGCACCAAAAACGGCAGTCACCCAGAAAAACGTCGATGCTTTGCGCAAACTCATCATTGAAGATAGACATGTGTCCTATCACAAGATTGAAGCATCCTTGAAGATCTAAAAGACCTCAATTCAAAAAAATGTACATGAAGAATTAGGAGTAAGATAATTAGTTTCTCGTTGGTTTAGTTGGTTATCCCACCTGTTGACTGAAGAGCAGAAAGCAGCCAGGGTTACTTGGTGTCAAAAACCGCTTGACCGTTCCAATTCCGGAAACTCAAAAAATGTGTACAGCATTGGTAGTGGTGATGAATCGTGTATTTACTGTTATGAATCAGAAAATAAACGACCGTCAGCTGTTTGGGTGTTCCAAGGTGAAGATCGAAAAGCCAACAAAAGTCATCCGTTCTCGAAGTGTTTCGAAAAAGATGGTCGCGACATTTGTGTCAAAAGCGGGTCATATTGCAACAATTCCTCTAATGAGCAAAGAACTGTTACTGCGGATTGGTATACCACCATTTGTTTGCCAAAAGTCATCACCGAGCTTCGAAAAATCAACCCCGAATGAAGAATCATCCTCCACCAAGACAATGCGAGACGCGCTCAATGTTTGGAGGTTCGGCAAAAACGTGAATCTTAAGGTGCGTTTAGATCTGAGCATGCACGCACTGATCCACCGCGAATGTTCAAGTCTAAACGGCTATGCGCGCACGCTCACCGGGCAGGGGTATCACGTAACTTTAAAAGTGACTTTATAACGATTTTTTTTTTGACATGATGCTGTTTTTTTTGACATTATGCAGGTTTTTCGCCAAGACGTTGACTTAATACTAGCGATTCACACTAGTCGTGAACTCGTTTGTAGTTGTACGTGTTGCCTAAACGTCATGATCTGTGAGTTTGGCTATAATGTGATGTATCAAGTGCTTCAGAGATGGCATTATATTCTATATCTAAGCTGTAACTTGTTTACTATAGACGACATTTGGAAGGAAAAGGCAGTGCATAGCTACATGCGTGCTAATAATATGTGTTAATGGTAATTGCATTGGTTTCTTGTCTCAAATAGACTAGAGATGTATTCAAAAGTTGAAATTAGTTGCGCATCCACTTTTTATTATTCAACCTGGAAATTATATATGCAAGTTTGCTGAATTTCAAAAACTGTGAGAGATAAAGAAAATCGCGGGTTGGTGAAGTAACAGGTAAGAAGGCACTGCGAAAATGTTTGATCTGTGATGACTCATTCCTATTTTTTATTTGATGTGGTTCTGAAGGTAAGTGAATATACTTATTTTTTAAAATACATGTAATAATTTTGTTATGATTTAAGGCCATTGTCCTCTTACAGGACAATGTTAAAAGGAAATCAATTTGAAATTTTTTACTTGACTGACTGGCTGCTGTCATAACGTGTCATCTGTCACTAATATCAGGATCTTGATGCCTGTCTTACAATGGTTCCATGGTTCCGTGATCTCTTCTTCAAGTTATAATAATTTATATGTATGAGTTATTATATAATTAATAATATAATTTGTAATGATGCTTCTGTTTTTTGTCATTTGTGTTTGAGTTCGTGCAGTGAAAGCCAAAGAGGCTTCGTATGATTCAGTGTAAGAGATTTCTGAATTACACCATAATGGGTGTATTTTGAATGGTAAATGTAATGTTTTTCAACATATGTTACTAATGAATCAAATATCTTTGCTATCAATCGTTATACAGGGTTATTCACCTACACAAGTTGTAGAAGAGGATTTACTGTATTTTAACACAATGGTGAACCTATTGTACCATGATGTAATTCCTCACAGTATAAAGTTAAACAATTTCAAAAGTTATTGGTTCATTATTTGTTCCATACTTGCAGTCATTTATGTTGGTAAACTACAAAATCATCAAAATAAGTAAGTTTGGAAGCATAGGGCTTACCTACACTTAAATTAAGTCATTTCTAACAACCTGTTGAATGTGTAAATTCATTCTTGTCGAAATATTTTCTCCACTATATTTGTTGATCACATTGATCTGGTTTTTTTTGGAATTAAAAGTGTATGAGTATTTTTAATATATAGCTTTTGACATATATGTTTTATTTTATGAAAAATCACTTTTCGGCACTAGATTATTGAAATGTTGAAAGAAATAATTACAAAAACATATCGAGTGTAAGCCTTAATCAAAAAGTATTTTTTAAACTAATTTCATGCCTAACATTGAAAGAATCTGTTTTACTTTGAATTGATCTTCTCATTTTTTGCTGAACTTGCATTATTTGATTGTAAAACAAAAATCAATTTCAAGCGGATAACCAAATGGAAATGGTATTTACCATTTTGGGTTGGTATTTACCAATCCGTTCAAGCGAGTGTAGTTATCAGTTTGGTTATAAGATCCGTGACGTCACGAATCAGCTGTTATATGTCATAGTTATCACCGCAAAATTGTGGTATTTACCAACTCAAGAGTAGTTTTATATTTCTGGTTATTATTTGAAATGTGACAAGTTAGAATTTTGCCGGGTATTGGATATTGTTATTGTACTTCAGCTTCATTTTTGAGAAAAATGATTCAGGCTGACTTCAGTTTTACCATAAAGTAGAGCACCTTATTAGTTATACTCATTACGGTTGTTTGGGACACTTTAAATGTAGTTCCTATGCTTAACAAAGTATCCTGTGTAGCCATATACCACAAGAATATTAAAATATGGCCATATAAACTCACTAGATGATATCCACCTGTATACGGTTTTGCTAATTTCTTTTTCATCATTTCTGCTGAATCAATAAATGTTTTCTTTGACATGCGGAAAAATTTAGAGAATTGAAAGTTATCATAGCTACAAAGCCATGGTTCCATCATTAAAAAAAAATCTGAAAAAACATTTCTCCCATGAATATTATGAAAGGTTTCTTATTTAAACTTTCCACAGTTGTAGACGAAAAAGCACCGATTATTAAGTGATAATAAAAATAATCAGAGATTATATACGCGCTTTTCTAAAATTAACAACTTGCAACAAAACCGCGGTTAAAACCAACGCGTTCAAGCAATTCGTGTAACTGACGTCATCAACCCGTGTGTCATCTTGGTTTTGGTTATTCGCTTGGATTTGATTAAAGTGTGTCCAAAGATGGTTTTCTTGAGATGGATGAATAAGAGTAATTTTCATTTTTACTTGAAGCATTATAGTATATGTTCTGGTTGTAGGGTTGAAAATGAAGGTCAAAGAAAATGGTGATTTGGGTAATTATTGTCCTCATAAAAGAAGATGTTGATGTTTTTAACAGAGTTTACACACTTTTCACAGTTCAACCCGAACTTAAACGCAACTTAAAGCGAGATTAGCGAGATGAAAGAAAACACTTGTTCACGCTTATGATGGTATATTGCAACTACGCTGACATTACAGAGTGACATGCACATAGTGGACAAACACAGTAGTAACGACATATGACACTAGATGTCGCTACTTTGACCAATTTTAAATATATAACAGCTACAGTAAACTTTTGGTATACTTATTCACAACACTCCCACTTAACAAAAGTTTACTAATGGTTCTCTAAAACCTTTTAAAATATCTGTCATGCACAACTTAACTTAAACCTAAACCCTTTACAAACTTTGAATTCTTAACATTTTGTAATGGTTTCGTTAAAACATCTGCAACCATTTCGTTAGTAGGTGTATACATTAATTTCACTTTACCTTCTAACACAATATCTCGCAAGAAATGGTACCTTATATCTATGTGCTTTGACCTATCATGGAACATTGGATTGCTAGCAAGCTTCTGAGCACTTTGATTATCATTATGAATCTCAATACAATCCAATTTTCCAGTTAACTCGCTCAACAAATTCCTCAGATATATGGCCTCTTTTGCTGCCTCGCTTAGAGCCATATACTCTGCCTCAGTTGTCGACAAAGCAACAGTACGTTGTTTACAGCTTTTCCATGAAACTGAACCCCCTGAATATTTAAATACATAACCAGTAAATGACTTTCTGTCTTGCTTATTGGACCCCCAATCTGCATCTGCAAAACCTGTCAAATTTAAATTATCCTTAAAAAATTTCATAGACAAGCTCTTTGTACCCTTTAAATAACGAAGTAAACGCTTTGCAGATTGCCAATGAACTTTAGTGTATGAGTTATTATACTGACTTAATAAGCTCACAGCATGAGAAATATCAGGTCTGGTCATTACCGAAAGGTACATTAAACTTCCAATAAGCTCTTGATATGGAACTTTTGGATCACAAATTTCACCACTGATATCGCTCAAGTTGATACTACTGTCAAGCGGAGTACTTACTACTTTGCTATCTGACATACCAAAACGACATAAAAGTTCATTAATATACAATTCTTGATCAATTGACAAACAATTTTTCGAATAATCCCTAGTGATTCTTATACCTAAACATTGTTTTGCCTCTCCTAAATTCTTAATTTTAAACTTTGAGTTTAAATGACCTTCAAGAAACTTCATTTCATTGTCATCAGACGAAAAACAGAAAAAATCGTCAACATAGAGAGCAACAATGGTTAACAAATTACTGTTATTCCTTTTAATGTACAAACAAGGCTCATATTTGGACTTAGAATAACCAATTTTTGACAAAACTTGGTCGACTTTTTCGTTCCAAGCACGACTAGATTGTTTTAATCCATAAACTGCTTTCTTCAATCTATACACTTTATTTTCTTTATCTTTAATGACAAAACCTTCAGGTTGCTGCATAAATACATTTTCTTTCAGAATACCATTCAAGAAAGCTGTTTTCACATCCAAGTGTAAAATTTTTAGATCTAGCCTAACAGACAAAGCAAGCAATAAACGAAAAGTTGAGTGCCTTACCACTGGGGCGAAGGTTTCAACATAGTCCACACCCTCTCTCTGTGTGAAACCTTTAGCCACAAGCCTAGCTCTATACCGGTTATGGCTTTCATTATCACTCTTCACTTTATATACCCACTTGCACTGCACCACTGTACCAACTTCTGGCGGATCTACTAATTCCCAAGTGTCATTATCGATAAATGACTGTATTTCTTCTGACATAGCTTCTTTCCACTTCTGCCCATCTGGCCTTGAAAGAGCCTCAGTCACTGATGTAGGGATACTCGAGTCATAGACTTCACCCTTGCTGTTAACACCTCCAAAATATGTCACAAAATCTTGAAAATTCTTCTTCTTGATCTGTCTTTGGGATCTTCTTGGAGTTACTTGTTCACCATTATCAAACAAGTCATGGCACTGACCTTCAGGCACATATTCATCATCATCCGAGAAGTATACATCATCTTCAGAAGATTCATCATCTGAATACATGGGATTCTGCTCTCCCACTGAATCTGGAACTTCCCTTTGCTTATCTGGAACACTATCCGGCAACACTGTACTTGGAATTTCCAAACTTGGTTTCTCTATGATTGTTACATCACGGCTTACTATGACTTTCCTTGTTCTGGGGTTAAAACACCTATATCCTTTGGTAGTTTCATCGTACCCAACAAGCACATGCTTCACTGACTTCTCGTCCCACTTGTTCCTACTGACCTTCGGAACATGAACCATGGCGGTACTCCCATATACCCTAAGATGACTAAGATTTGGTTTCTTACCTGTCCAAATCTCATATGGTGTCATTGAAAGCTTTGAACATGCTGAACGGTTTTTCAGGTAACAAGCAGTATTACACGCTTCCGCCCATAATGCCTTGGTCAAGCTCTCATCAAATAAAAGACACTTAGCCTTCTCCACAATGGTCCGGTTGAACCTCTCAGCCATCCCATTTTGCTGCGGAGTGTGACTGCTCGAAGTCTGGTGTATGATGCCTGAATTCTTTAAAAAACTATCCATTTCTCTATTACAGAATTCCCCACCATTATCGCTTCGCAAAATCTTAATCTTAACATTCTGTTGATTCTCAACTAATGATTTAAATTGCTTAAACTTATCAAAAGTTTCATCTTTTGTCTTCAGGAAATATATAAAGCACATTCTGCTGTAATCATCTATAAATGTCAGGAAATATTTAGCTCCACCAATAGATGTTGTTTCCATAGGACCACAAATGTCGCTATGAATGACCTCTAGCAGTTGCTGTGCTCGACTGCCTTCTTTGGGAAAAGGTAAACGGGCTTGCTTGCCCCTACAGCATACCTCACAACTCCCAATGCTTGTACCATTACAGATAAGACCATCAACCAACTTGGCTGTCTTATTCAGGTAGCTGTCATTAATGTGACCTAAACGTTGATGCCATAAATTGCTACTTACAGCTTGAAAACACACTGGCTCCTCACAAACGTTCAACTTGTAAACGTTGTTATGTAGACTAGCAGTAGCTACTGATACACCAACTTTATTGTAAATATTGCATCCCTCTTCATGAAAACTTACTCTATTTCCATTATTGATTAACTGGCCTACTGATAATAAGTTAGTTGTTAAACCAGGAATATACTGTACACCTTCTAGTAAAATCTTGTGCTGTTCATTGGTCATTGTTTTGATCTCAACATCACCTGCACATTCCACAACAACTTTCGATTTGTTAGCCATTACAATATCAGGTAAGTCAGGCTTTCTCCTGTTTTTTAACCACTGGCTATTGGCAGTTAAATGCTTGCTGGCACCACTATCAACATACCAATCTGTGACCTTAAAATCACCTGTTGTAAACACGGCACTAAATCCTCCTTCAAGTCTGTTATTGTTAGGGCATTTTGACATAAAATGTCCTGTCTTTTTGCACTTGTAACACACAATATTACTCAGATCCTTTTTATTATGTCCATTTCCAAAACCACTGTTTGAACTTGACCTCGATTGAACCCCGAAATCATCTGTGTTTGTTGACATTCCCGCTTGGCTAGCACCAGCTGATTTTCCTTTGAAATTCGTCCTACTAGCGCCACCTCGCGACTGTTTCCGAAAACTCGGTTTCTTGGCGGAGAATGCACCTGCATTTCCATTACCACTAGCGCCATCTGTCTGCATATCCAATAACTTGGTCTTTATTGAATCTGTGGTTATGCAGATTCCTGAGTGCTCGACGGCCATGATCATTGGTGCGTACTTGTCTGGAAGACCGGCCAGCAGCAATGATCCTACCCACTCCTCGTCTATTTTGAAACCTGTTCTGCGTAACTTTTGGGAAGTCTCAACAATCTGGTTTATGTACGACTCCATACTATCATGATTCTCTAATCTTGCCGATATGAGTGTACGTAAAAGTCCAATCTTTCGCATGAAACCACTGTCATCATATAAACGTTTGAGACTGGTCCATACTTCTTGTGCAGTCGTTAAATCTTTGACATGCGGGAACAAAGATGGATCGATGGTTAATACTAGCTTGGCCTTTGCTTTTGCTAGGGTCGTTGTGTCGGTCTCGGTACCTTCGATGCATTTGTTTAAGCCCTCTAGCACAAACACATTCTCGACGGCAAACGCCCATTCATCATAATTCTCACGGCCTAAAAGCCTTGGCACACTCGTCAGGTAGTTGACGGCCATATTTGTTCTGTGAGAAACACTTGCGTCACGACAGTTTCTTTCAACGTCTCGATTCACTAAAGTTTCGCTGCTGGGTGTCCTACTGTGGGTCTGGGCCCATAACCTGATGTTTTTTAACAGAGTTTACACACTTTTCACAGTTCAACCCGAACTTAAACGCAACTTAAAGCGAGATTAGCGAGATGAAAGAAAACACTTGTTCACGCTTATGATGGTATATTGCAACTACGCTGACATTACAGAGTGACATGCACATAGTGGACAAACACAGTAGTAACGACATATGACACTAGATGTCGCTACTTTGACCAATTTTAAATATATAACAGCTACAGTAAACTTTTGGTATACTTATTCACAACAGATGTACTAGAATGTTGGTAGAGGAATGAAAACTTTGTAGTTAATAGATGATTAGGATGATCCTGATGAATATACTGGGAAATATATGAATTATGTTCCTTGGGTGGCAATGGTAAGCAATCATATCTTCAGTAGTATTTAGGATTGTAACAATTTGGAAAGTTGGAGTTTGGATATTTGCTGTAGCTGAACTATTTTTTTTTCAGGGGAATTTAATATTGCCAAAACAAGAGCTTAGAAAGTCAAAACTACCAAATATTTAATCTGCAAATGGAAATATTATATCTCAAAACAAAAGGATTAGAAAGAACCAAAAATATGATATCAGTGCGTCAGACTTCGGACTCTGGTGTAGAATGCACAGTTTTCTCTGCATTTCAGGTAAACATTTTTTAAGATATTGAAAGAATTGTCTAAAGTTGCTTCAAATGAATTGCCTCAGATGAATGAAAGATTCATTTTCAAAGTGATTTTCATACTATCTATATAGATTTATTGTTATTGCTGATAATATTACATGGAAATGGACTGTATCTGTAAGCTATGAAATACGAACTAGATATCAAACATCAAGTCCCATTAGTACCAGGGTTTGCGGTGTTTTACCTGTTGTAGTGCTAATACAGTCTACTATTCGTCATTTATTTGTCTGGGCGGTCCGTGGGACCTTTGCCCATTAGTCACTGTCTGATGTATGTTAGTCGAATCTGTCAGTCCTGGTTGCCCAGAAACCAGACAAAGTCAAGGAAAAAGAGAAAGGGAAAGAGAAGAAAAAAGGAGAAGAACAAAGAAAAACAGATATGCTTAGTTTAAGAGGAAACACCTAGGCTTTTTGACTTGGTACACAGATTAATTTTGAGGTGAACTAAACAAATTTTTGATTCGGTTTTGTTAGAGTGTAATTTTGAGTTTACTAAAGATTCACGCTAACTTTTGATTACAGTGCGTGCCGTGGCCTTGAATGTTTACGAACTTACTCCACTGTGTAGTCCACTGAGTCACGCAACAGAGGGTTGCTGTGCGATTCCGCTTGACTATAACGTCGCTGCGCCTGAAGCTTGACATAATCCCTCAAGTAAGGAATGTCAAGGTCTCTATGTAGTGTCTCATTTGAGACGTACCATGGAGCGTTGCAAATTGTCCGCAAAGTTCTGCTTTGCAGTACTTGAAGACCTTGCATGCGTGTCTTGGCAAGAAAACACCAAGCTGCACATGCATAAGTAATGGCTGGTCTAATAATCATTTTATATAGTCGAACTTTGTTTATCAAACTCAATTTGGAGGATCTACATAACAAAGGATATAGTTGCCGAAACGCAATTTGGAATTTTGTTTTTATGGATGCTGTATGTTTCTGCCAGGTCATGCCTTTATCAAGGGTGACACCGAGATACTTGGCAGAATTTGTCCATGGTACACGATTTCCGTCTACAGAAACCTCTGCTGGGGGGCCGCGACGTTTTTTGGTACAATAAATAGCCTGCGTTTTCGAATGATTAATTTTTATCCTCCACCGTTCCGCCCACTCTAGAACTTCGTCCACCGCATTATGCTACCCATCGTGAACCAGATCACCAGTACACGACTGGGCGACAAGTGCTGTGTCGTCAGCATAGAGGTAGACTTCACAGTTGCTGGGGGAAGGGAAAGTCGCTCCATTGCTCGTTGCGGAGTTCGTGCAGTGCGTTTCTCACTTCATGGACAAGATTTGTAGCCCTACGAATGTCATCAGGATGACAAGACCTTTTTGCCTGCTTAATAGCGGCTCTTTTGTCAGAGATTTTCTGACAAATGTCCGCAGGCAAAAAAGGTGTGCCGTGTCGTTGTACAGGAAATACAGCTGCACGCTGTAGAGCTGCTTGAATGAATGCAGGCTGTCTACTATAATCGGGATATTGGGAAACTCTCTAAGGAGCAACTTGTATAGGTCCCAATCAATGCGTTTCCTTGGAGGAGCTGCCTCCTCAGAAGTTTGCTCATTGCCCACATCCAAGACAACAGGTAGATGGTCACTAGAGATATCATACAAGATTCGAGAAGAGATACTGTATCTACAGTTTTTAGATATCGCGAAATCGATGACATCTGGTGCCTGAAGATGGTTGAATGGATGATGTGTCGGCTCTTCAGTGCTATGTATAAGGTACCCATTTCGCATCACATGGTTGTAAAATCGAACCCCACTAGTGGAATTCAACCTAGAATTCCATGCTCGATGTTTGCAGTTGAAGTCGCCTGCCACAATAAGCGGACCCGAGTAGTCCAAAAGGACCTCCAGATCCGCCTCTTGTAGCCTGGCACCACACCTGACATACACCGATGTGATCTACAACGAGACACCTCCCGCCATATTGACCACCACAGAAGCTGCTTCGATGCTATGCATCTCCGCATTAGTGCTTCTATAATAGTCTATACCGCGTTTAATCAACACTGCTAAACTGCCGCCTCGACCATTCAATCTGTCACCTCGGATAACATCATAATTCGGGAGAGCTAAACGATCTCCCGGATTAAGCAACGTTTCCTGCAGCAAGGCCACATCTATACCTTCATCCAAAAGAGCTTGATGAAATTCCCGTTTTTTGGGAATATCCCTCATGCCCAAACAATTCCAAAAAAGAATTTTGATGAATGCAGGCTGTCTACTATTGTACCTAGACATTTACAGGAAATATCGCCTGCAACGCTTGGGTAGCGCTAATCAGTGGGCTTATTATTTGTTGTAAGGACCTTAGCGCGGTTGCCAGGTCCACATTTTGCGTGCTCAAGGGAGGTTGGGCAGAGGGGGCAGGCAAGGTTGCCTCCCGAGCTGCGTCCGCGTATGATATATTGCGCCTTTGCGCTATAACTTGCAAGTTCCTCCTTGGAGTGAACTTGCAAGTCCGGCTATTTGCGGGATGTCCCTCTCCACAGTTCGCGCACTTGCGTTCTTCCTCTTCTGTGAGGGGGCACAAATGCGTCATGTGGTCCTTTGCACATTTTAAGCATTTGGGCGGTGCAGTGCAATATGACTGTGCATGCCCATACTTTTGGCAGCGGTGACACTGCCCAATGAGTCTGGAGTTCTTCTGAACCTCAACTCGAATGGCCAGTCCCAGCAGTTCGTGTTCGTTGAACACTTGCTGAGACTTTTCAGTCTTGGGCAGTATCACGACCACCAAAGGCATGGGCGCGCCGCCGCTGCGCTTCAATCGAATGATATGAAGGGGGCGATATCCCCTCTGCTCCAGTTCTCCCTTAATCTCAGTATCCGAAAAGTTGACGGGAACTCCTCGAACCACCGCATGGATGTTCCGTTCCGAAGGAAGAGGAAAAGTGTGATGGGGCACTTCTTCCTCTCGGAATGTGCGAACGATCTTACGGTAGTCGTCCTCGGATTTAAGAATAATCCTTATTCCCGCATCGACGGCAACCGCGCGATCTATTTTAATACCTAGGGAAATAAACTTGAAATTTAAAGTACGCCATCTCGTCCCGTCGCGTAAGACGATCGGGGTTATGCGCCCTTGTCGTGAGGGTTGTGTTGATGCCACGACGGTTGGACGAGATGACGGAGGAGAAGTAAGATCGGCTGACGGAGTCACCTGACAGGTAGATAACGTGGTCCCTGGCTTGGTAATAGAAGCATTAATAGTGTTTCGATTTGATGAATTGGGGGAGGTGTGAAATGGAATTGATCCTGTATTCGGAAGAGGAGGAAAGTCTTGGGTTGATCGATCAGCCTTGTCGCCTTTCCTCCTTCTTGATTTTGCTTTTACAAATCCTTCAGTCTGTACGTCTTCGTCTGTGGATGTGAGATGATCATCAGAAACGTTTCTCAGTGGTCTTTTTAGGGTCTTTTTCCGTTCTTTAGGGGATTCTTTTGAATTTAGTAATATGGTTACCTGGGCGGTAAGGCTGTCAATTTTGGCTGTCTGGTCCTTGATGGTCTCCATTAGGTCTCGAATCTGCCTCGCCTGGTCGTCTATAATCAGCATCAGTTTTTCGATCGTTTTCTGCTCCGATGACATCTGCGTCAGTGAGCTCATGTTTTCTGCTTCTGCTTGGTTTCCGCCACCGCTCAGCTCTTTCCTCATAGTATGTGGAACTGCGTCGTCTGTTGATCCTCCTGGGTCAACTTCCATCTTTTAAAAACTTTTTCTCGCCAACAAATCTCAGAAAACTTATAGCTCGCAAAACCCTTTTTACAGGGCGTTTTGCTAATACAGTCATTAGAAACACTGTACACCCCTAGCACATTCAAAAGGAATATATAGTCAATCACATTTGCTGTACACAATTAATGCTACCTAAATCAGGTTTTCATAGCACTAAATTTGAGGCCAATAGAATGCTAGGATTTTATTAGCTACTTTAAGAATCTGGGCAGCCATATCTCAAATATAGTCACTGAGGCAGTCTGATAATGTCTCTGACATATTCATTCTTTTTGAGGAACTTTGTACCATTCAATTGTACAATCTGCAAAAAAACAAAGCTTGCTAGGGGACGAAATATTGAGGTAGCCATCACAATCCACCATAGATTAACAGCCATAGAAAATAAAAACTTTCAATAAATCAACTTCTTGTGATTGTTTAATAGCTTCATCAGGATTTTCTCAAAAAAAAAAAAACATTTCAGGAGGATGGAAATACGATTTTGTAGTATCAAACACAAAGATTCAATCACATCAGGATTGATATATCACGTAGAATAACTTTTAAAATCCTAATATGGCAATGAATTCTCTATGCAGTTAACACTAGTTTAAACCAATATAAGGAAATCAATAATTCATTGCCACTGTCTTCCAAGGAAAAATTTGAAAGTTTTGAAGAAGAATGGCTAGATTGAAAAGTGATTACAATGTACTGGTTCTAAATTTAAATTAATAATATCTTGTATGAAATATAGTAAATAAGTGTGTACAAAAAGTTTTTAAAATTAGTATTTGAAATTGGCTCTCTTATTAGGTGTCAGAATTCAGGAGGATTAGCAATGAGTTATTCTTGGGATGGTCATAAACAATAGCTGCAATCCAAAAAACTACTCCTAGCCAGATGTGCATTAGGTATGTACGTATTAACAATTTTCATTTTACAGCTTCTACAACTATATTGTAAGTAGGGTTACCAGGTAACCTGGATTGTATTGGGAGTTCTGAATTTGAGGCAGGAATTTAGGCGTAGGACATTTAGTAGACTCACTTTCATAAAAAAAATATTGAAACTACAAATTGCTCTTAACGTTTTTAATTCGGTTCGGCTACTTACTAGATGAAAAGACTATTTTTCCTTCATGTTGCAACTTCTGATGTGGCAGCTGAAATTTTCTTCTTGATCGACCATATCAAAGCAGAGCTACACATTAAGACTAAGGGTGCAAAAAAATGTATGGAAAATAAACAGTGGTTGGAAACTGTTGGGTCTGATAAAAAGTCTCTGATCTTGTTGTATGCATTTTCAAAAAATAACTTCTTTTGTATATGAATTGTGCATTAGTCTAATGAAAAATGTCCCTCATATTCTGCTCCTCCCCTTGGAAATCGACATTCTGCAATTTTCAAATTTAAACCTGGCAACCCTAAATGTGTGTCAATTGTTTATCAATAACTCTATGTTTTTAGACGCCGACCATATTCCTTCATGTTGGAGTATAGAAGCATTAGCATAATTAAGAGATGGTTAAACAGAGCCAAGGAGAGGTCAAAAAAATCCGGAGCTCCATTTGTAGTTATAAAGTGTTACATACATTTTGGATTATAAAAATATATGTATATTACTTACATATATATGAGTATATATACTTATGTTTATAAGTATTTACACCTGGTGTTTTTATTCCAATATGTGTAATTAGACAGCTCTTGAAGCTAACTTAAAAAATGTTTTGCCATTACATTGAAAGAATCTCATTAACTATTAAATCTAAAATGCATTATTAACTAAACTACTGCTTTGATGCCTTCAGGAGAGATACCAACTGCTTCGATTTTCGAATTTTGATCTTAAAATTGTTTATTTGGTGGAAAAGGCATCCTATGGATTGTCTCCCACGTGGCAAAATTACTACTTGCAGAGTTTTTGTGATTTCGTTACACACTCTTTAAAATCACTGACAATTTTCAAGAGGGCGCGAGAATTTATCAACTATCACAGAGGTCGCGTATTCATGAAGGTCGACAAGTTGTATAATTTTTTTGTAAAAACGTAGTCAATTACGTATGAAACGGATCTGTTGGCTGATTTCTAGTAGGTCCGCATTTCAGGCGGCTCATTGGAGTTTCTAAATCAAATAATGTAATATATATGCTTTTTACTTTTAATTTATTTTTTTAAAATTTTATAAATTGAATAATGATATTAAACAGTTTTGGAATTTAATAAAATGAATAATTATATTAAACAGGTTTCGAATTTAAATATGTTCAAGGTGAAATTAAACAATCAATTTATGAGTACTCAAAATGCATAGTGATGTAATTTTAATAGACAAGAATATAAAATTAGAGAAAATGGATTAAAAAAAATGTGTAAACGGACAATTATAAAGAATTGATATTGTAGCACTAATGCTAAATGAATCTTCAACAAAAAAATAAAAATCATATTGTGATTATAACATAAGTGTATGGATGCCAAATTATTTTTGTGGCTTTTAGAAAGTGAGGGTGTAGGCTAGGAAATTTTTCCTACAATTTGATGACAACAATGATAAGTTCAAATTGGTTGCAGTGTTTTATTTAAAGAACGCGTTTGTAGGGAATTAAATTCATCACTTTTCTTTTATAAACCTTGTCATACAGTGAATATGTCAAGAAAATTAAAGGTAAAGTTACATTTAAGGTCATTTTCGTTTATAGTAGTTAAACTAACAGCTCAAGCGCTTAAAAGATTCTTATCCATTTAAGTAGAGAATTAAATGATTCTTCAAGTGTATGGAGTAAAAGTCAAGAATTTATAAGAAATTGTCGCGCGGCATACTCAGCACTGAACGCACGTTGCCCACTTGTCAGTATACATGTTTTCACGTGGGGATAACTCTACAAATTATTATCGATGTTTTACTCAGACGCGTGACTATGGAAAATCTGATATTTTCGGATACTTTATGATGTAAATGCAAGTCGCTCACTTCCACCAGTCTCTTTATGGGCCATTTTGTCTCGGTACACTCAGCAACCGATGCAACGATTTTAGTGGAAAGGAAGTAATGCAATAAACTAGTATTATCTACCATCATCTCCTCTTCCATTAAAATCGATGAAATTAGTCAGTGACAAAATCGCCAATACACCGACTGATGGGAGTGAGTGACTTGATCTTCATAATGAAAAAAATCAGAAACTATCAAAAAATATTAATTTTCCATGCTTGCACGTGGTAGTATTCTTGGTCATGGGTAATGATTATGCAATCATTTCACGCGAAATAATGTTACATGCCGATTAAGTGGACCACGTACATATATAGCGCCAGGACTATGTCGTGCGACTGCTCTGATACGAATTTTCAAAATTCCCTCCTTATTCTTTAAGGACCATCAAAATGTCGACTGCTCTGATACGAATTTTCAAAATTCCCTCCTTATTCTTTAAGGACGACCAAAATGTCGAAAAAACGTAAAAGAGACCAAATTCTATTCTTTACAAAACGTACCAGTTAGGTTCTTAGTTTAGATATTATAACCAAAAATATCATTACATGTACCTTTACCCTTAATTATCTTGTAACCTGTTGACCAATACAAGTTTTTATAAA